TAAATAAAATCAGATGCTACATGTACTTATTGATAAAGTTAAAGTGTTGAATGTAAATAAACTTGAACTATGGGAATTAAAATATATGGAAGAGCATGGGAGAGGAAGATGGATCGCCACTCATGCTCTTTCTGCAGAAAGATTCAACGTAACTTGCCATAGAAAATATTAAATGAATTTTTTATTAATATATTAATTAGTGTATCTCTGTTGTTGGCAGCAGGGGAAAAAAAAAGTTTATCTCTGTTGACTAATCCGATCTGGTTGCTTCAAATATCTGCTGAAACACGATGCCATGATACTTTACAAAATAATAATAATAATAATAAAAGGATGATTTAGATTCCCATGTTGAATTAATAATGGAAAATGGTATCCTATATTGTAATAATTGAGATTGAAATTTAACTAACTCTCCCAATTTAACAGACAGAAATGCCCAAGGAACTTAAAATTTTAGGGGAAGTGCAACCACCATAGGCAATAATGGCACGACTTTATTTATTTATTTATTTTACTTAAGGATCAATTGTTAATAACAAGAGATAGTGTTGTCTTTAAACGGACAAAATATTATTTTTATTTTTAGATTTAATATCCTATACTTCTTTTACTTTTTAAAATTTATTCATTCATAATTTAGTCTTTTGATTTGATTTTCAGTTTTTTTGTTCAAATATGATTCTACAACTTCCTTTTTTAATCTTCATAGTTAAAATAATAAGGATCATTTAAATGTTGTTTTCCATCTAACAAGTTATTTAATTAGTTTCTAATGTTTAATTAGAGGTTAGTTAGAGATGAGATGCAAATGACTTTTTTGGTTGATCGTTTTAATTTAATGACGATAGAAGAAGGGGAAAGAATTAATTAGTTTTTAGAAGTTGAAAATAAAGCGGTGTCTCCAAAAATAGCAGAGTCAGTGAGAATTGAACTGCTTAAAACATTGAAGGAAAGTGATATTCGGGTGAACTCGCATACACCCAATGGGGTTGGGTTCAAAGTTGGGAAGATAATGTATTTTGAACCTAATTTTAGTGTGGTAGTAGCATACTCAAGGCTTGGTGGCCTACAGCCTAGACCAACCCCACATATTTTGAATCAAACTTATAAGATATAATTTCTCTCACATGGAAATCTCTAAATATAGGAAACAAATTTTTTTATCCAAAAATTTAAACTAATCTTTCTACCTTTATCCACGTAAATATATGTTACTCATTATCTCTTTGTAATAAATTTTCACCCATTATCTCTCGTATATTCTCTTCACAAATAAAGGATAATTTCAAAAATATGTATATATCTTACACATTTATTACTTTTAACTAAATTTAACTAATACTAATAAAAACTAGTTGACTAATTTGAATAAATTAAGAAAACTACTTTAGTTAATTATTTATAATAAATAGATATTGTTTTTCTTAAAATATCATTACTAATCAAATATATTGGCTACATATATCATTATTATAAAGACCATCTTTAAAAAAATGAATAAATATAAAAATTAAAATGGATTGACATCTCATATTCAAAATCAAAATAAAAATCAAGCAAAATCTTATATTAAGAACCAGAGATAGTATTTTGAATAGCATGATTGTTACTTATTTCTCATAAGGGGCATAGAGTAGAAGAGCACCCTCTCAACTTGTCCAATTTTTTCTTTCAAAAAAAAAAAAAACGTTCTTAACTTGTAAGTCTTACTTAATCCTCATGAGAACGCACTTCTCTAGAATTAATGTGCTCCATTTCTCTCGACATCCTCATGATCCTGTGGCAGTCCTCTTCATGACCTCAACCTTAAAAGCACTAATCGAAGACCAACCAATGAGAAAACTCATCTCAAATCACTAGCGTACGAAAACTCCATAAACTTGCAGGCCCCATTTCTTACATAAGATTCCTAAGCATGGGATTCTCAACAATCCGTGCCATAAACCTCGTTTCTTAATCTTTAGCTTTTAGGTGAGTTACAATAGCTATAGGTTATCAAAGTGAGGCTAATTACTAAATTTGAGACTCCATTGTAACTCGTAAACAGAGACATTCATATGGAATTGATAATGACCAGAGTAACTTGATTGTTCATATCAGTAACTTCATTTGCAACATCCAGTAATTTTTGTGGATAAAGCACAATATGGCGTCATGTGATGCATATGATGGACCCCATCTGGCAGTTTTTCGTGTTGTAACTTGTAGCATCAGTAATTTGAATGAAACCCACGATTCACATTATTTACTAACTAATGAGGAACTAGCAAGATAAAAACAAGATAGAACTAAGAGGAAACTGAGACAAAACTGTATCATAATGGAGTTGTCGACAAAGTTAATCGCACTAGAATGAGTCCAAACGTGCCAAAGAAACACAATTCCCACATAGGAACGACTCCAAGAAAATATCGTGATTTCTGTAATCACCCAAACCTAATAATCCTCAAAAGATCCCGGTCTTTGCCCATACTTAACCCTTCAAGGACTGCTTTTCCTTGGCCTTCTGAATCTTCAACACCTTTTTCACAATCTTTTGCTCTTCAACCAAGAAAGCTCGGATGATCCTGCGGGGCCAAAGAGCAATGTCTAGATACCAATTGACAAAATGATGAAACAACCTCTTAAAGCCCTAGAAAGTAGCAGAACAAACCTTTCTCTGACGGCACCTCCAGACAAAACCCCGCCGTATGCACGGTTTACAGTCCTTCGGTTTCTAGGTAACCTCGATCTCTTGTATTCAGCAGGCCTCAAGTGGGGAATCTGCAATAGTTATCAAGCAGAAATTACAGCACTAACCTAACGAATCGAAAGAAACATTGTCCTCAAGATAGATAAATTCTATCAAATATGGCTCAAACCAAGTAGAAAGTAATAACTAGAGCATACAAATGTGCCTTGAGAATGTTTAGAATTAAACAATCACAAATAAAAATCAGATAAGAAACCATGATCAAGAATTTAGAAAGGAAATCAGGAATGCAAATGTAAAATCTGCAGATGATACTGATATTCAAATACAAACATGCGGAAAAGCCTGAGATAAACTAATCAAACAATTATCAGTCTCCCAACTAAACGTAAGACATCCAACAACGACAAGCACATAATAGACACCATGTCTCCTGTTCATGAATATGGGAAATCGACACAAATTAGCACCATTCCTGTTCCCACTGTAATAAGCGTTAACTCTCAAGAGTGGAATAGTACAGACAATGGAAAGTGGTGAAACGAACCCAGATCAAATTTCCAGTATTGTGAAGCCCAAGTAAACCTTCAGAATCAATTCACTAAAGCAGTTACCCGTTAAACATAAATCCATTTTTCACCATGTTTGATCAACATTTCACAGCATGAATTCATCTGACCCCGTTAAAACACCAATACTTGTCGATGTAAACCAACGTAAGAATACAAACTATAAACTATGAAACCAACTGTTTTTAAGGGTAGTAGCTTCAGTAAGGGATTCACACATTGAATACGAACTGTTGAGACATGGATAGTACATTTGAAGGTAACAGGTAAGTCACGAGATTGTATTAACCCATTGCCAGGAAGTAGCAGAAGAAAACAAACACTCAGCAGCCTAAACTTAGAAAACATTGTCTCCCGACTCTAAAAACCCACCAATATCAAAACACGAAAAATAAATTAAAATTGCATCTTTTTAAGCCCAACAAATTAAAATAAGCGTCTAGGGGGGGAAAAACAAACGGCATACCCCTTGAATCCTCTTGCCTGTTACAGGGCACTTAGGCCCGCTTGCCCTCTTCTTAGTACTCTGATAAACGAGCTTACCACCTACATTTCCAGCCATCAAACAGAAAAATCTTAAGAACAGGCAACCTTAAGTAGTTCAATGTCGGGAATCAAGAGTCTAGCACCTTCATATCATTGATCAATAATTTAAACCAGCTGGGACAGAGAAAGAAGAAATCTTTACCTGGGGTTTTGACAACCCTATGTTGGTTGGATTTGGTAGCATAGCTGTGACGTTTTCGATATGTGAGACGCTGCACCATCTTGAGCAACCTCCGCCTGCTTCTTGCTTAGGGTTTTTGACGAGAAGGCAGCAGCAAAGAGAGGGCGAGCATTCGTGCCGCATAGATGTATAAAAGGGTAATGTCCATTCATGCCCTAAATCTAACGGCCCGAAGTGTTTCACCAGAAATGGACGACTAGAGATTATGGAATGCAGTAGTATATAATAAATTTAAAAATTTATATACCAATATTGATCATAAATTGTTTTTTATAAAAATAAACCGATATTGTTTTTGAAAAAAAGATTTTCATCATTTGTTTTGATAATTTACTAGGACTTTGATTCAGAAAATATTTACATCAAGTTTCTTATATTCTAATTCTTCAAAGATATGTGCCCTATTTTTTAAATATCATCATTTAATTATAATTTACATAAAAAATATGATACAGGGACATGTGTGATTAAAAAATTCAACGTAATGAATATAAAGAATTTAAATTAAGTATTTTATTTTTCTTTTGATTCAAATAAGATTTTTCTTATAATCAAGTAGTATAAAATTATGAAAAGTCTTTAATAAATAAAAAGACTAAGATTCAATCCCATTTATAATTTCAAGGTATTAATGTTTGCTCCCTACCCATGAAAAAGAACATGTTTTCTTTTGGGGGGGCTTCCCAGCAGCAAATTTATAAAATTTCCAGCCTCATCAGGCTTTAGTTAAATAATAGTATTAGTTTAGTATTTATGTTAGTCATGTCTTGAATTAGAAACTTTCACAAAACGTGACATCTATCCACATCCACATTGTTTATATTTCTCTAATGCAAGAGGAATTGAAGGGCTATGAGTAATAAATTTTTAGTCCATTATAAGTTTAACATGATAGGACAGGATAACTATGTGTTAAAGAAGCTAGCCAGAAACAATTAGTATGTTATGTATGATGTATATGACTATATCATTATGTGTGTGAAAAAAGTGTACATGTACATGAAGTGGATCAGAAAGGAAAGAGCAAAAAAGAGGGATCCACATGGACTTTTCTGTCAACAAATGAAATCCTATTTAACTTATCATTACACCAAATTAACTGATCTTTGCTCAACCTTGACATGCTCAGAACCCTTGAAATCAACTTCAACTGAACCTGAGCCATCATCTGCTCAACATCCAGCTCCACTTTATCTTCACTCTGCTTCTGCAGCTTCCTCACTATGCAATTCCCACTCCTAACTATGTCCTTCAGCCTCTTCTCCTTCTGTCATCAGCCAAAAACAAACAACACAGTCAACATTACATATGCATAGAACAAGAATCTGGATTTTAAGGTTGTAGGGTTGTTTTTCTTTGTTTTGTCAAACCTTGTGCAGGTGGGTTTGAATGTCTGTGAGAAGATGATAAGTGGCAGGGTCTTTGAGATGAGTTGGTTTGGTTTGGTGAGGAACTTTAAAGAAGGTGTTGGCATTAATCTCGTGCTTGTCGGCTCTGGCAAACTTGCAGAAGATGTAAATGGATTCTCTGATGATTTCTGCTAACTTTTCGCTTGAAACAGTGTCTTCTTCATCCTTGGTCATCATGTTCTTGTCCTTCATGCTATCATCTGCACAATCAAAGCTCTCGTTTTAGAAATTAGAACCCAAATGGAAATGGATTTGTCCTAATACAGCTCAAGCTTAGCTTTGGGCCTAAATTCAGGCCCAAATTTTAATTTTAGTTTTTTAATCCACCTTTTTCAGAAGACAGGTAATGTGAGGCCCACAGAAACTGTAAATATGTGCGGTTAATAAAAGTAGTTTTAAAAAAATTATCAAAATTTAAAAGATAAAATAAATTAAAATCCTATATTTAGTATTAAAACAAGTCTCCTAACTAGTTATATTTAGTATTAAAATAAATCTTCTAACTAGTTTCTAAATTTAAGACTAGATAAGGGGCAGTATTATATGTGGACCTGTTGATTGCGACCTTGTTTGACATCACTTTTAAAATTACTTATTACTTATAAGCACATTTTATATAAATTGAGACAAAACTCTTTTCATATATTTATAATTGAAAAGTCACTTGTAAGTCATTTTAAACAGGCACTACTTGTTATAATTTTTTTTTTTTTGCTATCCCTTATTGTAATCATTAAAGTTTGCTCAATGGACAAATCATGACATAAATGTAATCATCATTAAAAAAAAAGGAAAGAAAAAGTCTGCCACTCATTTTTCCAAAAAGTAATTAAAAAACTACGCTTCAAATATTGAAAATTAAAATTAAAATTTGTTGAAAACCCACTCATTTTTTAAAAGGAAAGACTTAATTTTTTTAAAAAAATTATTAAATATTAAGAAACTTCAAAATTAAAAACTCCGCAATTTTTACTAACCTTGAATTGGAGGAACTTGGAGGAGGTTCCGAATGACACAACGGTTCCTTACATAATTGTGAATCCGGGGTCCTTGAAAAGGCTCATTCTCAATGAACCTCTGCATCAGAACTTGGAACAGTTGAAATTCTCCGGCCACCACATTGTACCGGCGAACGCATTCGCTGTCGTACTGTTTCAACTCTATCGCTTTCTTGTACTCCCAACACAGAACCTCCCACGACAAGCAAACCTGCCCCACATAAACCACCTCCAACTCCTCCACCAAACTCACCACTGCCTCCGACGACTTCTTCTTCTTCTTCTGATCTTGGCGTGACCATAATAAATTCTTCAAAATCATAGGCTTCGCACTTGGATCTTTCAATTGTCGTAGACCTGCACGTTGACCCCCAAAGTGAGTGCAAGAAGATCCACTTTTGATAAGGAATTTGGTTTCTTTGACACTTTCTCTTTAATTTCTTTCATTGCGTTTTAATATTTAGAGTTCAAACCCAACTTGGTCAAAAGCTGAGGTTCCTTCCATAGAACTTTATTGGATACTTGTATTCTAGAAACCAGTGAAGTCGACATTGGTATTTTATTTTGTGTAAAAGTAAGCCCATGAGAAAAGGAAAAAAAGAAGAAAGATTGGCGGAACATGTGTTTTTAAAATATGAAAAATAAAAGGGAAAAAAGGAAGCTTCTGATATAGACTTGTCCCTGGTTATGAATAGATTTATGTGTACAGAACTAACAACTATGATGACTACAAAATTGGTAGATACCCACTTTGTATGTACCTCAAAAGACAACGTTTATCTTTCTTACATAATGATAACGTGTGAAAACTTGGAGAAATTTGAGAAAGTAGCATAAGACGAGTTTCCTGTTTCAAACACTTACTGTTCTCATCTTTGAAGAAGTTTTTCCAGAAAATAGAAAAGACCCAAATATCTAAGATATGTTAATCCAAGATGAAATAATAACCGAAAGTTTAACAAAGAAAACAGGGTAGTTTGGTTGTTACCTAGAGCATGCATGGTTTGGTAGTTCAAGATATCAAGCTTCCTCATCTTCTCTTCGTAGGTCTTGTGAACTTTCTGGATTTCTCTGATATGATCCTTGAATTCCAGTTTCTCTTCAATCCTCAGTGGCTTTAGATCTTGGGCCATTTTTGGGGACTCACTAACTTCTTGTCCTCCATCTTCTTCTTCGTCCTCTAAGATTGTAGGAAGCCCTCCTTGTCTCGCATTTCTCATTTCCAGTTTCATTTGTTGTACCAATTCATCATCATCCCATTCAAAATCATCCTGATCATCATCTTCTTCAGAGTCTAACTCACCCCATTTCTTCTCTTCATCCTTTGAAACTTCCTTTTCATCTTCATTTTCGGCTTTCCCAGGTGCTAATTCTATGAATTCATCTATGGCTCTTAGCTTTTGCATCAGCTTGAGGGTCTCAGGCTCCAATTCTCCAAGACCTTTTTGATATGCTAGAAAATCGTATGTGATTAAATCGTCAGTTTTGTCACTGTTGCCCCATATGAGACCACTTGAGCTTGACGATTCTGATTCTGAATCAGACTCGAATGAATTGTCATAGAAATCCAAATCATCTTCATCAGATGAATCTCTCCCTCGAAAGACGTCACTTTTCAAGCTAAATTGATCAGAACTGGAATGACCATGGAACATCCTCTGTTCTTGAATGGATCCCTCTTCTTCTTCTTCTTCTTCAAGAACATGGTCGTCTTCTGATTTGGTCTCAGAAATTCCTGCTTCCGAAACATTTGGACTTGCATGAACACTTGGAAAACTCTGCTCTTGGGCAGATTCTCTCTGTGATTCTTCTTGGAAAACTGGTTGGTTTTCTGATTGAAGCTCTGAAATTTCTACTTCAGAGCCATCTGGGGATAGATGAAATTCTCCAAACCTCTGTTCTCCAGTAGATTTTTCATCCTCTGATTTGAGCTCTGAAATTTCTCTCTCCGCTTCTTCTTGAAAAACTGGTTCGTGCTTCGATTTGAGGTCTGAAATTTCCACTTGAGAGCCACCTGGAGAAGGATGAAATTCTCCAAAACTCTGTGCTCCGGCAGATTTTTTTTCTCTGATTTGAGCTCTGAGATTTCAGTGTCGGAAACATATGGACCCACAAAAAATTCGCGAAAACTAAATGTCATAGCTGTTGTTGGTTCTTCTACGAACCCAATAATGCCCCTTCCTGACACGTATTCAAACTTATTAGTGATCAAAGCAGGTCTCTCTGTTTCTTCATCTTCTTCATCCCTCTCCATCTCTTCACCCTCCATTAAAGCAGACTTGCGTGTTTCGTCTCTGTCTTCCCCTCCGCCTCCTCCTCCTCCCCTTTTCTTACTATTTTCATGGTCAAAGTCATCCTCCATGGTAACAGAGCTCTCTGTCTTTTCTTCTACTCTTCTCATACTATTTTCATGAACCTCGGAGCTTCCCTCCATGAGAACAGATCTCTCTGCTACTTCTTCCTCGTTTTTCACACCACCATCATAAAATTCTGAGTTAGTTTTCGTGTTGGCATCCGATTCCTTTTCTCCCTCTTCATTCATGGAAGCAGGGATGTCTTCTTCTTCTTCTTCTGCCTCCTCCTCCTCTCCTGTGCTTCTACTGTCTTCAAAATTATCCGAGTCTGTATTTTCTGAAACAGAACTCACTGTTCCTTCATCTCCACTTTCTTTTTCATTGAGGGCCTCCATTAGAGCAGAGCTGCCCATTTCTGTTTCTTCACCATCTGCGTTGACATATTCGTTACTCTGAAACAGGAAATTGATCAGCTCGTCTCTGAACTCATCAATCCGAGAATCCTCAGGTTGATCGGAAAGCTCATTTTTCCCATCTGCCTTTTGAACTCTGAAATCCAAAAAAGAAAACCAATAAGCTAAATAATTCATCAAGAACGTCAATAAAACCAGATCAGAAAACACATCAAACCTGGAAACAAACCGGAGAATCAACCCATACGAGTAAAGGACACAATTGCAGATGAAAACTCCAAGAGAAGTGACAGCCCAGAGCATGTTTCCAGGGACAAAATTATTAGCAAAACGTGCTTTGATGGAATCAAAGTGGGATATAAGCAGGGACAGGTTCTTGGAACCCATCAGTGATCAAAAGCCAATCAAATCAGATTCTGTTGGGTTCCCGAGAAAATTCTGAGCCAAGGGAATTAAAAGGTTGAAAGGAGAACATGGGGGAGGAAAATTAAGTTTGCATTCAAAAGAACATTCATTTCAATGGGGGAAGTGGAATTAGGCCACTTGCAGACAAGGAAATCTGTGAGTGCAAGAACTTGGCATAATTTCATGTTGGACCAAAAGGAGGGGCGAGATTGTGGGAGAAGATTGAGCGTGTATTTGTACATGCCCCAGAAAGCAACGTGCGGAGTTTTCCCTTTTTCTTATTAAAGATGAAAAATGAAAGGAGGAAGGGAATTTACGGTACAAACCCGGTCTCACGGCCCGCTTGACACGTTTCACTTCTCGGGAGGCCGGGAGGTGAAATATCGAAGAAGAAATATCAAAATATCCTCGTAATCTCTCCGGAAGTTAAAAAACAACGAAATAACTGTTTGAAAATTTTATTCGTTAACCAAACTCAATGCAATTCATCTTCAAATGATACAATTTTTTGATACGTGAATACTACCTTCGGTTTTAAATATAAAAACTAGTTAACTAGTTTGAGTAGTTTAAATAAATAAGTTAAATTAATTATTTGTATTAAATAAGTATTGTCTTTTCTAAAATATTCTTACTAATCAAGTTTATAGGTTAGAACTACCATTATTAGAAAAACCATCTTAGAAAAAAATAGATAAATATGAGAGACAAAGTGGATTAGCATCTTATATTTATAACTAAAATAAAAATTAAACAAGATCTTATATTGAGAACCGAAGATAGTATTATATTCTTAACTAAATATAAATGTTGTCTAAATGAAAATCACGTGCACAAGGCTAAAATATCATGTTACACAAAAGCTGGAAAAAATTGTGCTCGTTGAAAATAAGTTGTATCCTCTTAAGTTTAACCAATGAAACCTTCAAACAATTACACCTAACCATTTTTTTCAAAAGAAATGCGTATAATATAATAAACACACGAGAAAGATGGGGGAAAGGAACAGAAAGTAAGCCATTCTATGCAAAATAAAATTATATGCTAATTTATTAGTGGATTAATTAAGTATGATGAAAAGATATAAGCATGATTCAGTAATGATAATGATGATATGCATACAATGAATTTCGGGTAATAAATTAGCTTTCTATTTTCATCCAGGTAAATTAAAATGGGGCCATGTGTTTGATTCTATGAGGATGCGTTTTTAATTATTTGAAAGGGCAACACTCGACTGAATTCATACAATTTTTGTATTTATTTTGAATTATTGTTTTCCCAACTCTGCCTAATTTCTCTTTTTTTTCCCTTCTCTTTTGTTCATTGTTGACCCACCATATTGTGTTTGGTCGAGTGGACAGGAATGCAACAAATGGGGACTACACCATTTAATTACTCGTTCTATAAGAGACATTTAGAGAATATCTCCAGGTCAAAAAGAATTTAGAGAATATCTCAAATTTTCTTTGTTAATTTCTCATTTGGTACCATTTAATTACCTGTATTAACATATTTTTTATCACACAACTTTCGAAGCATTTTCTCTACCAAATTTTTTTTCTTCTGTTAGTGACAATCCTCTTTAGGGTACTATTGAATATTAAATTGTAGGTACATTTTTCAATGACAAAAAAAATCAATTATTTTTGTACACCGCTGGGAAACATATTACTTATTTAGTCCTATTTATAAAATATTTTCAGTATATTTCATATAAATAAAAAAATCTTAAATTATATTAACTATCTATTAAACTATAACAACTTTCTAATATTATTCCTATTTAATATATACACCTTTAAAAAAACTATTTATACTACAATAAATATAGGATAAAATAGTACATTCATACTAAAAATTTAATAAAATAATTTATAACTATGATAAAAAAAATTTATCTGTCTCTCTTATAAACAGAACCAGTAGAGTATTTTCAAAAATATAGAACAAAAAATCATGGTTCTTTAATTTCCCTAGACTGTACGTGGGCGGCGGGGGACCATATGAAGAGTAAAGATTTTGCCAAACTTGGGGGAAATTCATGCTTAACTTTTTAATTAAGCATGTGAGTGGTGTAGGCACAGAAACACATGCAACAGTGCAAAGAGGAAACACAACGAACTTCATAATCACTTTCCGTGAATTGTTAATAGAATAGTATATACCCCATATTCATTTGGGCGTTTTCCCAATTTTTTCACATAAGGAGATATACGTAAATATATAATATGAGGAATTTGTAAATAATATATCTCCGATCTTTAATATAAAACTTAATTGTTAAGTTAATTTTAGTCTTAAATGTAAGATCTATTTCTCATATTTATTTATTTTTTAAAATTATCTCTGTTGATACTCTTTCAATCGTAATTAAGTAAAAAAGGAGGAGAAATATTAAGAAAGATGATTATAATATTTTAGAAAAAATGTGTGATATTTTATAATTAACTAAATTGCCTAACTTTCTTAATTTAACCGAATTATTAAATAGGTATAATATTACAAACTAAAAAAATATTATGATTTACTATAGAATGTACTATTTTGTGTATTGGAAAAATGGAAGGTGAGGAGCAAGTAGAGGAAGAAAAGGTGGGAGTGATGTGAGTGATGAGGAATTAGAACTTGGAAAATGGTATACCACCTAAACTGCAAAGCGCAACTAAACCAAGGCGATGTGATGTGATTGTGGCGAAGTGGTTTCAGAATTAGAATCACATTTTTGCCACTTGGAATAATATAAGAGAAAGGCACAGAATGATAATAAGGCTGCAAATGATTGCATTAATGACGCGCACACACTCAAGTCCTCAATAATTTTTTTTTTCAAAAAAAAAAAAGAATGACTTATAAATTAAATTGGAAAAATTAGCTAAACGAATATGTTTGAGAAGTTTATTGATGATAGTGCAACTCATTTTCAACTGCATGCACCACATCGTCAAACTGTACATAAATATCTCCCGTTTTTAAAAATTACACATAATTAATTAAAGATAAGTTGACATGGAAAAAACTAAAATTACAGAGTCCATTTGCCCACACTTTTAACCAATTTTTCTCATTAAATTTGAGTCGGCCGACTGTCAATGTAAGAGTTTCGACAGATAAGACATTTATGATTACAACAGTCTAAATTGATATTTTTTTTCTTTATTTTTTTAAATTATTTTTTCGGAAACCAAATTATCATTGATTAATTAATTAATTGACTCAATTATAACTCAAATGTCATTCTCTAATCTCCACACGAAAAGAAAGGCTTAAGAGTGAATCTAACAAAGGGAATGACACGGACGGTCGGTGCATGTCGGCTTCCGTCACGCCAAGCCTCTCTGGTCGGTTGTTTTCAATGGCGGCGTCACTCTCCGCCATTTTCTAATCACTTCATTGTCACTCATTTTACCTTATAAACACATGCCTTTTCATTCTTCTTGCGTCCCTAATCACGCCTCTCTGATCCCCCCCTTAATGCAAAACGTATTTAGTGGTCCCCAGTTTAGATATTCTATGATTTTTTTTAATGTACTGGAATAACATATACTCCCTCCAATCTTAATTATAAACTTTAAATAACTAATTTGAAAATAATAAATAGGTCACAAATATATTTTTATTTTGAAATATGCACTTATAAAAAATGAGAAAAAAGATGAAAAAGAAATTGTGAAAAAATGTAATAAAAAATATTTTGACAAGGAGAGAGAATCAAAATTAAGAATAAAATTAAAAATATACATTAAATGTTAAGACGGACGCCAAATGAAAGCTTAGAAAATGGATTGTACTCTTTCTTAAATTTGAAACTTATAAATAAGATCCGAAAGAGTATTGGTTTCCGATCATCCTGCCTATCACTCTCCACTCTTTCTAATCACTTGATTATCATCTCTAATTTTCACCTTAAAACCGTGCTTCTTGCTGCTAATCACGCCCCTGATTTTTTTCCTCTTCCATGTGAAACGGATTTAGTTGTTAGCACCTTTATTCCCCCCCCCCCCCCCCACGTGTTCAGTGTTCACCATAGCTTTTATACACACACCCTCTCTCTCTCATCTTTATTACAAGTACATAATGACAATTTTATATAAATTAACGAAATTAGTTAAAATTATTTACTTTTTATTAAATTTTTAAATCATCCTAAATAAAAGGCACTAGTTAGAATAGTTTGTTTAATTGGTCACAAAATTTTATAATTATTTAAGGATATCAGGTGAAAAAAAGTAACACTTTAAATAGAATAGTCTTATTGTGTGAAGTCCCATGAAGTCGTGCCAGTGACAAACTTTCATTTCCTTGGATACGAATTGGCTCAAATCAAATGGTTTCACCTTCAAAACCCAAATAATTGAATTTCATAATAGCATCTTTTATTTTAGAATCCTCATATAAATTCGAGCTTTTTTGGTATCAACACCCGTAATTTTACGAAAGGCCTACCCCTAGATCTTTCTTACTTGGTCTATAAGTCCTAATTTTTCCCAAATGAGCTCATACATAGCTTCCTAGTATTGGATTTCGGAGATATTGGCACACATATAATAATTCGGTCTTGATATCAAAATAGATTAAGCCAATTTAAGCGGATTTATCTTAAGATTGTATGTCTTCACTTGACTATCTGATTAGTGAAGGTGAAATCTTTCTTCAAATGATTTGATACTAAGCCCAATATTAACGTCTGACACTATGTCAGAAACTTCTTCATTCAATCGCACCTTGCACCTTTTATGGACCTGTTTGACATAGCAGTGAAAATCTTCTATAAACACGTCTCACGTAAGTTAAGACAAAATTCCTCTCACATACTTGTTTTGTATTACGTAAATCACTATTGAAAAACAACTTATAAACTGTTCTAAACAGGTCCATAAAAGGGCGAATGTATGTTTTATAACAATAGGAGCCAAAGTGGGCAGAGGTGTGGGTTCTTTTCCCCATTTGGGGGGGTTTCACTTGGCCTAATGATAATTTAAAAAAAAAAAAAGAATATACGCTACTGCTATTAAAACAAAAAAATAATTAAAATATATAAAATAATTAAATCCAATCTAGACTATCCAAATTGTAATGAGTACTTCATACTTATTATTATGATGAGTATTGAATGTGCTCTCTTTTTTTAATTTTAAAAAAAGAGCGTTATGGTTTAATTTGAAGGGTTAATATAATTT